AAGCTTGTAATAAACAGGATTCGGATTCAGCTTGCAACTACATTGGTCGTGTGCTTTATCCGCTCCGCATGGGACCCCACATAACATGATATTTTAAAAAATTACTTAGTTATCAACAAACCCAAGTTCTAGGGCTAGATACCTCTGGGGATCATCGATAGCAAGTCAAATGCATTGGTTGTAATTTCATTCTAGTCACTACTGACCATTTGTCCACATCACAAAAACAACATTAAACTCAGAGCAACTGGCCTCCACTGCTCAAGAGAGGCCTATGATCGGCTGGTTAAAGGTGTGGCAGTTCAGGATTGAGATATGTTTTGCAGTGTCATGGGATGCTCTGGACTTCAACAGCATAGGAGCTGCTGGCTAGCATAATACACATCACCTGCTCAGTTCTTCACCTTCATGAAAACTAAAAATTTATCAGATATAATAAATTAAAAGAAAGAAAAGCAGCACAAATTCCCTTCCTTTATGGGTATCTCAAATACTCACTTTAAAGCTGTAAACACTTGTTGACAATCTTGTGAGTGCTGAGATAAATACTCCAAAGCTTTGATAGCCACAGCCTGTTGTTCATTCTGAAAACAAGTAACAAACACATTTTCTAAAAGCTGTGCCAATTGTCAAACAACGCCATCCTACCCACAACTGGAAAATGTTTGCTGGGTTTATATGGTCTTCTCGTGGGGGAAAGGCAAGAGGATTCTGCATAAGAACATCCCCACATGCAAGGAAAAAAATCTTAACGAAAGATCCTGTGATTCCTTGCACAATCAGTCCATAGACAGAACAGAATTAATACAGCTTGGGGAAGCCATTAGAACCTGGGATATTATTAGCAAACCCCAAGAGATAGCTAAAAGGGGGGCTCTATATACGCCAATATTCATTCATTCAGTGCTCACACCATTCAGTCATTGCTCACAGACGAGCAAGAGGGACAAGTAACTTTTCATAGTCCTTCAGGATTTCCCAACCCCAGAATCTGAGCTCCTTAAGAACATATAAGCAGCTTCTCCTTCTGAATTGAGCATCTTCAGCAATCAAGTCATAGAAGACAACAGAAATCCTGTAGCTTGTGACAGAAGGGAGACCTAAGGAAGCATCTGATGCAATGTCCATTTACTAATATCTATAGCTCAGGAATTTTCCTTAAGAATTCTTTTAAAACTTTATTTCTTTGGTTTAGAATAAACCTCTGCTTCACTTTATTCAACACATTTGAGTTTACATAGCAAGGTCTTCTCTAGTGTAGCACATAGCAAGAAAAACTACACGTATGACAGGCTACAGCTGCTACATTTATTTGAAAATGAAGCAGAAGTCCAAGAAAATATTATCAGCTCTCCCTACCTCTAAAGCAATCTGGGCAGCTAAACTCAGAAGGCTGGTAGCTGCACTTCCATCTGCTAGTAGCTTATCTTCATGCTGAGCTGGCTTTGCTGCTAACTTCCCCATTGCAACAATTGCTTCCACAGCTGAAATACATGAGGAACCAGCTGTTAGCAGAATTTTTCATAGAAGCACATGAAAGTAGCTGTACTCTGATATTTTAACATAAATATCATACTGATTTGTGGAAAGGCTGACATCTTCAACTAATTTTCACAAGTTCCCCCTGGAAAACCTGTTCTGACTAGGTAAATATGTTAGCATTTCTCCACAGTTAAGCACTGGGCTTGCTAGAAAGATGTTAACATGGTTTTTCTGGCTACTGCAGACAGTTTTGCCAAACAATGGAAGCCTTGTCTAGCACCCCAATCTTGTCGCAGAAAGCAGAACGTTCCCTCTAATAATATTACCCATAGGTCGGGTGGGGCTCCACTCTCCCATGTCTTGGCTCAAACCAACAAGAGTTACTCCAGCGGGCATTCTGCACCAAAACATTAAAAATTATGCACCAAAAATTATGTGCACCATATTTTTAAATTCTGCAAAATTCCAGAGGCTCCAGTGAGGAAAGCAGGATTGGGCCCAGACAAGCAGGCAGGCAACAGATAAAGAGACTGGAAAACAGGTTGGGAGCCCTGAGAACCTTAGTGGCAGGAGTAAGGGAAGGAGTAAGTTCAGGCATGGGGAATTCAGATCCCTAAAACAATTACTTGAAATGGTGAAATCTGAGCTGATGAAAGTGTCATTCTGTATCTAGATAAACAAGTGATTTAAGGAAAAAGAGTGAGAAGTTAATTCTGCAGAGGCTGGAGGAAATGAAAACAGCTGAAAATTGTTAAAATGTTAAAAAGAAAAAAGTGTTATAGGAAGAGAATTCTTGGTTTCTTTGCAGCCATTTGAAGGGAAAATGGGCCCTTTTCCAAAGGAATGTCTATAAATAATCCAGGCAAAGAGACAATCTGATTGAAATCATTTGACTATGGACAATTTAGTCAAATTCGCTAAAAGAACATAATTCCACTGGAACTTAACTGCCCCAAATGTATAAAAGGGAATGTAATCTACGTACAGCTGTGTAAAAATTATTAGAGCTGTGCAAAGGATGTTAAGAAAAAGAGAATGTATGTATGTATGTATGTGTGTGTGTGTGTGTGCAAATATATTGTGTAAATATGTGATGTTTTAAGGACCTAAATCAACACTCCTGGTTTGTAAAACTCTTGTTTTGTTGGTTTAAGACGAATTCATAGAATCATAGAATATCAGGGTTGGAAGGGACCTCAGGAGGTCATCTAGTCCAACCCCTGCTCAAACCAGGACCAATTCCCAACTAAATCATCCCAGCCAGGACTTTATCAAGCCGGGCCTTAAAAACCTCTAAGGAAGGAGATTCCACCACCTCCCTAGGTAACCCATTCCAGTGCTTCACCACCCTCCTAGTGAAATAGTGTTTCCTAATATCCAACCTAGACCTCCCCCACTGCAACTTGAGACCATTGCTCCTTGTTCTGTCATCTGCCACCACTGAGAACAGCCGAGCTCCAACCTCTTTGGAACCCCCCCCCTTCAGGTAGTTGAAAGCAGCTATCAAATCCCCCCTCATTCTTCTCTTCTGGAGACTAAACAATCCCAGTTTCCTCAGCTTCTCTTCATAAGTCATGTGCTCCAGCCCCTTAATAATTTTTGTTGCCCTCCGCTGGACTCTTTCCAATTTTTCCACATCCTTCTTGTAGTGTGGGGCCCAAAACTGGACACAGTACTCCAGATGAGGCCTCACCAATGTTGAATAGAGGAGAATGATCACGTCCCTCGATCTGCTGACAATGCCCCTACTTATACAGCCCAAAATGCCGTTAGCCTTCTTGGCAACAAGAGCACACTGTTGATTCATATCCAGCTTCTTGTCCACTGTGACCCCTAGGTCCTTTTCTGCAGAACTGCTACCTAGCCATTTGGTTCCTAGTCTGTAGCAGTGCATAGGATTCTTCCGTCCTAAGTGCAGGACTCTGGTTTTGGTTTGGTTTTTAAATAATACCACTAAAAATCCATTTGAACTTTTTATTCAAAGATGCAAAACTGACAGACACTTTTTGCCAGACACAGGTAATTAGTGTTGTTTGGCTCTGATATTTAGCATTTAACCCTTAAGGTACCTCAATGCTTTATAAAGTTCAATATCTTTTTAACGACCAACTAGGAGAATGGGGAGAGATTCTAGATTTTTTTGGTAACCAAGTAGCAGATAAGAGCTGCAGTAAAAGAATAAGAAATGAAAAAGACAGTACCCTCTGGAGCAATAGCAGGGATGAGGTGCACAAAGTAGCAATGTTAGGAACAATGAAGTTGGCTCTGAGTAATCAGACTTTCACTTTTATAAGGGTATATGGAAACTGTGAGCACAAAAGAAACAGTCACACCTTATGTAAAAATTGATATGATTAATATAATGTTATAGAAGTTAAACTATGAAAAAATGTGCATTTTCCTATGACATATGCAGTGTATATTATAGAAGGGGTGAAAAGAACAAAAATGCAAGCAAAACATGCTACTTAATTAAAATTCTATTAGGGCTCCAAAAAGGAGCCACTATAGGTTGTGTTTTCTTTTTCAGATCGCTGTGTGTTTTGGAAGCAGGAGGCAAAAGTGGAAAGTAATCAAAACTCAGGTGGAAGTTCATTGTGTCCCTTTAAGACAGAGTCTCTGAGCTCTGCTGATGGCTTTGAGTCCAAAAGCAAGCTAAAAAGCATCTGTTTTGATGCAAATTACCTAGCTGATAGAGGAAGGAGAGAACTGCCCATAAATGACAGCACAAAGGAGCTGCAGATAATGGACATACCTGGTCAGCAAACAAGCTACTTGTAATCAAAAAGACTCAGATTATGGCCCTCCAGAAAGGAAGGCAGAAAAAGGAGTCAAGCCTGAGAATAGGAGTAGACATCGTCTAAGGACCCCCAAGAGTCCATGGACCACCGGTTGAGAACCACTGACCTAGAATACAATGTATGGAAGAAAAGGAGGGGGTTGGAGACGGAGACCTATGAGATTCCATCAGAAAGTGGGAGAGAGGAGGACCACCCATCAAAAAACCTGACAGAATGGTCAGAGAGATAAGAGGAGACTTAGGAAAGTACAGTATCACAAAAGACCAGGGGAGATAAGAAGTCAAGAAGAGGATGATCAACAATGTCAAAAGCAACAGAGACTCAGGAAATCAAGGATGCAACTGAGGCACTGACATTTGGCCAAGAGGAGGTGATTAGAGTCTTTGGTGAGAGCAGTTTCAGTGGAAAGGGCAAAAGATAGATTGGAGAGGGTCTAGGATGTAGCTGGGGAAGACAAACTTGAGACAGTGATGCAGATAGCATTTCCAATTAGTTTCCAGGTGAAGGGGAGAAAGGAATTTAGGGCATAGGTGGAGAAACAGGCTAAGTCAAAGGCAGCTTTTTTGTTGGGAAAAGACCAAATCAATGAAACTGCAAAATAATCATGTGTTCATATGTACACAGCAACATATTACCCTTCTGATTGTTTCTACCTTTTTCAGTGTTACCCTCCAAGACCGCAACCTTATACACACTGAACTGAGTGAAGATGCTGCTAGGATCACACCTCTCTGCTTCCTTCACTGCCTCTTTTGCCTGTTGACAGAAAAGATTAACACGATTTTATCGCAGTCATGACAAGGAGTCAGTAACACACATTGTAGTTGGGTGAGCTAAACTGAGAGAGAAGATATTAATGATTATATACGTGCTGTATAAATCCACAGCTGTATAAAGCTTGGTGTTTTACAGACAAAAAAAAGTCCATGCCCTGAGGATCTTAAAAGTCTTAAGTTATCCATAGCTGAAAAACAAAATAAAAGTCACAAAAATAAGCTTTTGAGCACATATAGAGGGACAATAAATGTTAATGTTGCAGTTAAACGTTTAAAACTCAAGAAATGCTAAAATTACAGTTGCAAACACACCCTTAATTCTGACCCCTTAACAATACAGTCGTTAATTCCAGGGTCACACACTGTTTCTCAACTGATACAGAATAACATCAGACCATTTCTTCCACAACCTTGAAAGTTTCACCTTGTGAGCTAAGAAGTAAGAGTGAAATTCAGCCCAGTGCAGGCGGCCAGCACAAGGCATAGGCTCTATTACAGTCTCACTGTGCTGACCCGCTGGATGGGGTGAAATTCACCTTGAATGAGGTAGGGGTCTGCAGAGCATCTTGTTTATAAATGACTCTCCTGGACTCTACTTGGCATACACAGCATACATGGAAACAGAAGTTGCCACATATATTCAAGGTTAGATAATCGTGTTTTGCTTTGTCCCTGTCTAGTGGTGGCTGGAAGAAAAAGGTTGATGAAATTGCTGGGCATCCCTGATTCTCAGATGTGGGTCATTCAGCTCTGGCAGTGCAGGCTCTTGCATTTAGATGTAGAAGTCCCAGGTTCAACCTCTGCTGTCAGGGTATGTATGGGGATTAGAGCTGGATGGACTTCTAAAACTCAGGCAAGTTTCCTCATCATGTAACCCATACCCACTTAGTGTGATGCTCTGTCCCTCTCTAGTGGTGGCTGGGAAACATATAGAGATTGATGAGCTGGCTAACAGAGTGGGACCTTTTAATTCAGGCAGTCAAGGCTTCTGCTTTAAGATCCAGAGAGCCAGGGTTCTATGCTACTGCCAAGGACCCACCTCGGGGTACAGCATAAGTGAAGAAGGCTAGTAGTGCCACCAATAGTTAACACTGTCAGACACTTCAAAATACTATTTCCAGTTGCTTATAATATTGCCAAACTTTGTCCCTTCAAGCTAGAACTTTCCATGCCGAGTGTCTGCCTCCGGCTGAATTTTTTTGGAAAGTTTCAGGTCAAATGGTTCAGCCATTTCTGAGGATGAGATTAAGGAAAATACATTGTTTGGCCCAAATTAAAAAAGAGTATTACAACCATTTTGTTAAGAAGTTCTAGAGCCTTCATGCTGTGGAGCAAGAATTTTAAATTTGTCAGGGCAGTTCTCCTAGTATCAGAGATGCGCCTTTTGCTGTCCCTTGAAAATTTCGCCCAAATTTGCCAAGCTAGGAGCCTTTGAAAAGTCTCAATCTATACATACTCAGTAGAGACTTCTTAGAGTTTGGCAGCTACATTTTCTGATGATTCCATCTGCACTAAGCATGCTCCAGCCCAGCCTGGAGGTGCTGAGGAGGACTTTTGCTGAAATTGTTCCTTCTATCGGCCAGGGGGCTGACGTGGCACTGGGCACAGCAACTGAGAGCAGGGAGACTGTCTCTCCTATGCTCTCGATGCTCCTGATACTACCAAGCAGTCAGCATGGTGAAAGAGGATGCAGCCGAGCCTGGTTTGAATTCAGAGGGATGAAGAATGATGGACAAGAAGAAGGGATTGCAGGAACCATGCAGGGGGAGGGAAGTAGAAGTTGGGGTGGGAGGAGGGTGGATAGGCACAGAGGGAGGCAAGAGCTGGAATGGGAGTGGGGAATGGGTAAGAGTAGAGGGGGATGGGGTCCAAAGCTAGGGTGAGGGTTGGACAGGAGCAGAGGGTATATATGAGAAGAAGGGGACTGGGACAGTGCGGGACTGATGGCTGGTCCATGGATATGTTAATAGCCTACTACTGCTACCAGTTAGGGGACGGAGCCCAAAGCCATGCAGCCAGAGCCCGGGGCTGGAACCCAAAGCCTCGCAGCCAGAACGTACTTCCCTGCCACGCCCGGGCTTAAGCCCAGATCCTGAGCCCCACCTGCGCCTGGGAAGGTGGGGAACTCACCGGCTGCCTGCTCCTCCAGCATTGTGCCCCAGGGGTCTCTAGAGGGAGGCAGTGCCCAACACTTGCTGGAAGCCCCAGCAACCAACACCAAGGCATCCAGGAGCACCAGGGAGGGGGAGGAGCCGCTGCTCCCCCCCTTCCCCATCACAGCCCAGGAGTGAGCAAACTACGGCCCACAGGCCAGATCCGGCCCCTCAGGGTTTTGGATCCAGCCTGTGGGATTACCATCCCCGTGGCACCGTGGGCCCCGCTTTGCTCCAGGAAGCAGCCAGCACCACGTCCCTGCGGCCCCTGGGGGGAGGGAGGGCAGAGGGCTCTGCGCACTGCTCTTGCCTATGGGTACCTTCCACAAAGCTCCTATTGGCCTGGAACGGGAACCGCAGCCAATGGGAGCTTCGGGGGAGGTACCCACAGGCAAGGGTGGCGCGGTCAGCCCTCTGCCCCCCCTCCCCCAGGGGCCGCAGGGCCGTGGTGCCGGTCGCTTCCAGGAGCGGCGTGGGGGTGGGGCCGGCAGGGAGCCTGCCCTGGCCCCGCTGCCACCCCGGAGCAGCTCCAGGTAAGCGGTGCCAGGCCGGAGCCCTCACCGCGAACTCCTCCTGCACCCCGCACCCCAACCCCCTATCCTGAGCCCCCTGCTGCACCCCAAAACCCTTGCCCTGAGCCCCCTGCCACACCCTGCACTCCCTTCTGCACCTCAACCCTCTGCCCTGAGCCCCCTCCCACACTGTGCACCCCCTCCTGCGCCCTGCACCCCTCTTCTGCCCCAACCCCTTGCCCTGAGCCCCTTTCTGCACACCGCACCCCCTCCCACACCCCAACATTCATGGCCCTGCAAGCAATTTCCCCACCCCGATGTCGCCCTCCAGCCAAAAAGTTTGCCCACCCCTGCTGTAGCCACAAGAAAAACCCCTAGTGGCCACATTTGAGAAACGCTGGTCTAAAGAACTCCAAAAAGCAACTCCGCCCTTCCAGAGACCAGACTCCAGTAAATTGTTCACTATTTTCCCAGCCTCTTTAACTCTCCCCTTTCCTATAAAGTCTTCAGTTCCAGAAATGTTACTGGGCTGGAACACATGAGGGTGCAGCACTGCTCCCCTAACATCTGTCATACACATTAGTAGAATACAGTGAGCTTCCAAGAGACTCTTACTGTGCTACAGGACCTGAGACTTGCAGCGTCGGGTTGGTGTGTACACAGGAAAGTGAATGCCCTCAACTTCATGAGAATATCACACTAGTTGCTGTGAATCTAACTTCAAGGAGCAGCTCTGGCTGCACCTCACAGCATGTCTCTGCTCTCCATTCAGAATTAGAGACCACATAGGCAGTATCAGCAGGCAAGTTTGTACATCATTTGTAAAGTACAAACATAGCTTAGAACTCCATCTAGTGATCACTTAAAGCAAGTGCTCAAGATGCTTTTTTAATTTAGGCAAAATGAATTAATTTTGTAAGTCCTATCTTAAGAGTAGCAAGTTTTTTAGACTTACACACAGATGATACTAGTTATGAGTCTGTTCTGGTGACACTAGCTGTTATGCTAAGAGGCACAAAGATAACTTGCGCCATGTGATCTCTCTAGGTCTTTACAGCTGTTAAAGCTCCCTCTCTGTAATGCATACTTCCTTGCAATCATTTTGTTACTCAGCTCATTGAAATTAGTGGTCTGATGACATGCTGAAATATAACTTTACACAAGACAGTCCATTTACCAGTAACTCCAAGGCAGCCTTGCTATACAGCAGCTTTTCAATCACATCAAGCTCAAACTTCTGGTCTTTCAAGGCCCTCCCAACTTTTCCACCTTTGTGTCTTTTTACATTGCTCCCCATCTGTCTGTTCCACCAGTGATGCAGTCATGCTGCTTCATCTCTCTGAGCTGGTGCACTTTGAAGAAAAAACTTCTACCATGACACCCTTAATAAATTACCCAACTAATAATGTCCATGTCAAGTAGCAAATGGGGATAGTTTTATATTTCCATTTTAAAACATAGTAGTATCAAAAACATTGTATTATCAAGACGTGACAAATCTCCACTTTTGCAATTTTATTTATCTGCTGGACCGCTTCTCTCTACTATATCATTTCATTACATTGTAAGCTGTTTGTGGCAGAAATCATGCCCTCTATTATGTTTGTACAGGATCTAGAAGTGGGGGGACCCTAATGAAAACAAATATATTAATAATTAAGTGGGTACATTTTTAAACCTTAAAGTCCCAAGTATAATCATGTAACTCAAAACAGAAAAGCTACAGAACAAACTTCCATTCCCCTTTAACCTTTCACAATTTGAAATCAAGTCCCATTGACACTGCAACACCCCCCCTACGCTCCCCCCACACACAGACACACAAATACTTTTTCAAGTTGTTTCAGATGAAAGTAGCAGGAAGCCATATTCCTCTGCAACTTAGCCAAGTTCTGATCTATCTGCCCAGATGAATAGAAGCTGAGAGAATAGTTATACCACTGAAGGGCTTCAGAGTAGTTTTTTGCCTAGAAAATTAAAAAAAAAATTAAAACAGCCACATTGAAGTTTAAATTGACTACATTTTCCTAAGCTAAATACATCAGGCTTCATAAGAATCAAAAGGTTGAAATAGTCAAATACATTCATAGATTCCAAGGCTAGAAGGGACCATTGTGATCATCTAGTCTGACTTCCCATAAGGCACAGACCACAGAACATCCCCAAAATAATTCCTAGAGCAGATCTTTTAGAAAAACATCCAATCTTGATTTAAAAACTGCCAGTGATAGAGAATCCACCATGACCCTTGCTAAACTGTTCCAGTGGTTAATCAGCCTGTTAAAAATTTACACCTTATTTCTAGTCGCGATTTGTCTAGCTTCAACTTCCAGCCATTGGATCGTATTACAGACTTTCACTTCATTAAATATAACAGGGTCTAACCAGCATGGTTTCTGCAAAGGAAAATCATGTCTTGTCTGTGAGAATTCTTTGAACGTGTCAATAAAGTAGTAGATAAAGGAGAATCAATTAACAATTTATTGAGGGCTTCAAAAAGCCTTTGGCTAGGATCCTTAAAAAAACTTAGTTGTCATGGGGTGAGAGGCAAAGTATTGTCATGGATTAAAAACTGCTTCGGAGATGAGAAACAGAGGATATGAATAAATGGTCAATACTCATCATGACTAAAAGTTAACAGCAGAGTGACTTAAGGTTCTATATTAGGTATGTGGTGTTTAAGATATTAATCTGGAAAGGCATGTAAGCAGTAAGGTAGCAAAATTTGCAGATGACAGAGTTATTTAGGCTAATCAAGACCAGAGAATGGGAAACACAATGGTAGATGAAGTTAAGTGTTGATAAACACAAAGTAATATACACTATAAGGAACAAATTGAACTATTCATATACCTCATAGGGTTCTAAATTAGTTGTAATAAATCAAAAAACGGACCTCGGCATCATTGTGGACAGCTCAATGAACATCTTTGCTCAATGTGCAACTGCAGTCAAAAACGCCAACAAGATGTTAGGATGCAAAGCAATGGGTTGGTGATAATATAGAAAATATTATAATGCAATTATATAAATGAATGGTGCAACCTCATCTGAATACTGTGTACAGTACTGGTGACCCCATTTCAAAAAGAATATTGCAGAATTAGAAAGGCATTCAGAGGACAATAAATTATTAAAGACCTGAAAAAACTCACATGCAGCACTGGTCGCCCTGCCTATTACTATACTATTAATGTTACCCAACAGTTCTCTTGATAAAACTCTGTTTTCAGTGACTTATAACTTTGCCAAACTTTAATCCTTTAAACTTAAATTTTTTATGCTATGTATCTGCCTCAGATTGAATTTTTTTAGAAAATTTCAGGAAAAATAGTTCAGCCATTTTTGAAAACGAGGCTAGGGAAATATCTGTTGTTTTGCCCACGTAAAATAATTCTGGTGACTTTCTTTGAACAGCACTTTGGAACGGGGACTTAAAATTTGGTAGGGGTGGCACTTGTGTAATCACTGTGAAAATCCATCCAAATCTGGCCAAGTTTTAAGCCTTTGAAAAATTACAGTTTGCGCATGCTCAGTAGAGATTTAGCTGCTAAAATCTCTGAAGATTCCATTCTCCATGAGTATACTCAATCCTCCCACAGCTCCAAGTGCTGGACAGACCGTGTATGCACTATCCCCACACAGCAATTGAATATGTTCCATCCCCTGATAATTCATACATGTGACAAGACTGTGCATGCCCTATCTCCACCAAGCAAATGAGCAACCTTCCTCCAGCCCAGGACTAGGAGGCGAAGCTGGACTTCCCATGTCATGGCTGCTCCCAAGGACTCCAGGCCAGAGTGCGGCTAGGCACTGGAACTAAGAGCACGGAGCCTCTCTCTCCTGTGCTCTCAATGATCTCCCTGCAGGCCCCAGACAGCATGGAGGAGGAAGCCATCTGATTGGAATGCCGAGGGGACAGAAGTCAGAGCATGGGGAGAGAAAGAAGTAAGTTGGGATAAGGAGCCTAGTGAAACTGGAACTGAGACTGGCTGCACAAGGAGAGTGGGACTGGGAACTGGGGGGGAGAGGAGGCTGGGTCCTAGTGAGAGAAACAGGGGTGGCGACCGGGAACTAGTTGTCGTTGGCTGCAGGAAGGAGTACTGAGGTCAGACAAGAAGCTGAAAGACGTGGGCAGACTGAGACTGGCAGGACAAAAAAAGTGGGACTAAGGAACCAGGGAGGAGAGGGGAGACAGTTCTGACAAGGTGCAGGAGAGAACTGTGATTGGCTGGGCAAAGAGAATGGGACAAGGAGTCAGGGAAGGGGCAAGAAATGGAGGGCATTTGGGCAAGAAATGGAAGAATGATACTGAGATTGGATGAGGAGCCCAGGAAGGAAGACTGACTGGGAGCCAATGGGGAGACAAGGGAAAAACCAACTGGAGGAGGAACCAGGAGGGAGGTGGAACTGGGACTTGCTAGGCAAGGAGGAAAGTGGAGAGGAGGAGAGGAAAGTGATCAGGAACAGTCAGCATGGATTCACCAAGGGAAAGTCATGCCTGACTAACCTAATTGCCTTCTATGACGAAATAACTGGCTCTGTGGATGAGGGGAAAGCAGTGGATGTGTTATTCCTTGACTTTAGCAAAGCTTTTGATACAGTCTCCCACAGTATTCTTGCTGGCAAGTTAAAGAAGTATGGGCTGGATGAATGGACTATAAGGTGGATAGAAAGCTGGCTAGATTCTCGGGCTCAAGGGGTAGTGATCAATGGCTCCATGTCTAGTTGGCAGCCAGTATCAAGCGGAGTGCCCCAACGGTCAGTCCTGGGGCCGGTTTTGTTCAGTATCTTCATTAATGATCTGGAGGATGGCGTGGACAGCACTCTCAGCAAGTTTGCAGATGACACTAAACTGGGAGGACTGGTAGATACGCTGGAGGGCAGGGATAGGATACAGAGGGACCTAGACAAATTAGAGGATTGGGCCAAAAGAAATCTGATGAGGGTCAACAAGGACAAGTGCAGAGTCCTGCACTTGGGAT